GATGCAGAGACACAGGATGGTGGGTGCTGGGCCGTGGGTGGTGGGTGGGTAGGTGGCTGGTGGTGGGCTTGATTGTTATTTTGTCTGTGTCGGGGGCCCTCCCTGAGGGTCCTCCCCTGCAAGACTTTCCCTAGGAGGCCTCAGGCCCCTCCTGCTGGCCTTCCCAAGATGCCCCTTGGTCATTGCCCTCCCAGGCCCAGTGTTACCTCCTCCAGAAAGTCTCCCAGGACTGAAGGCTTCTGGCTGATGTGAGAATAAACAAGAAATCTTTTCTGTCAAAGAACAGTTTTGGCAGCCACCATTTGGGCTCCAGTGACTTGACGCCAGTATTTTGGTCCTCATGACTGGCAGCTCCCCTGGAGGCCACCATCTTGGGCTCTGACTTCCCCTTCCACTCCCTCTGAAATAGCCAGTCTCAAAATAATGGGAAGCTGAGCTCTGAGCCTGAGCGATCAAGTCAGAGTTCAAAGTGAGGCCAGGGCCGACCCTGGGTCAGGAAATTAATGTCTGATTGGATTTCCCTTCCCTTGTGCTTTGCCCTTGACTTCCAGCTGGCCAGAGCACCCTTCTGCGCAGGGGTAAATTGGCCTTGCCCATACACGCTTGAGTATTTGCCTCATTGCTGCGACACCGTTGAGAGCATTTCTAACACTGAGCTTCCAGAGGAAGGGCCTTTGCCAAAATGTTGGCTCCGGGGATTCTGAGTACGGGATGGGCTGCAGACTGGGGCCGGCACTGGACCCGAAGCTCTGTTTCCATAACAGGCTCGGGGTCCTCTTCAAATGATTCAGAATTATGGAATCTTTGGCCTCACTCCCCACCCACCCCCAGCACTGCTCCTCCTGTCTGGGGCTTCAACTATACACTGAGTGGCCAGATTATTATGATCTCTGAACTAATAATAATCTTGCCACCAGCCACGTGTTGCTGTGGCTCAGTCTGGTTAAATGGAAAAGAAAGAAAAGGCAAAAGCACACGTTCCTAATATGTTTTATTTCACAATGCTTGTGGGTATACAATATTTTTTGTTCTTCTATTGTCTGTGCAGATTTAGAGGTTGTCCTGTTAGCCGACTCTAGAACACTCAACATATAATTGTCCATTTGAGAAGCAATCCGAGTCTAGATCTAAACCACAAAATTCTAAAGATTGGCCCTGAGCTTTGTGATTGCAAACGCCAATCGAACTGGGAATTGCAATCTCTTACATTGAAATGGCATATCTGTTGGAATAATAGGAATGCGAGGAATGAGGACTTCTTCACCTTTGAAAGGTCCTGTCAATATTGTTGCTTCTACCAAGTTGTTCATTAATTTTTGTACTGTGAGCCTCGTGCTGTTGCAAAGCTTTTGCTCGCTGATATTTCGCAACATGATAACTGGCACACGGATTTTCAATTGCAGTAGGTGCGGTGGCATCCCTGGCAGATCGAGTGAATTCAAAAATTCTGTTGGATAATTAACCCCTTCACCTGCTTCCACAACAGTATCGACAGACTTGTATGTGACTGCCTCGCTCTGAATGTTAGACTGAAGAATGTTGTTAAGTTCGTAGACGTCTTTGTTCTTGGTCACAAGAATAGCTCGTTCACTCAGCCAATCGTGATTCTTATAATTGGTTTGAATATACTTTTTCAACCAATTCATCTTCCAACATCACTAAATTACAGAAGTTATGAGGCAATGAAATTGCTCCCGAGGTCAGGTCAACCGGCACCTTTCCGTTCCCAATTTCCAGCAATTGATGTGAGAATATCTCAGCTGATCGATCGTTTTGCAGCTGAACCTGCATATTTGTCATTTATTTTAACTTCTTTACATGTCGCCACAAAGTAGAGTATTTCAGGCAAGCATTTATTTCGTCTGCTGGTGTCCATCGAGGATTTCAGGTAATGTTTGCCTAAAATCTCCTGCAAGCAATATTAATGCGTTCCCAAATGGTCTGATGTTTCCACACAAATCTTGCAATGATCGATCAAGAGCCTCGAGGGATTTTTTGTGCGCCACTGTGCATTCTTTCCAAACAATAAGTTTGCATTTCTTTTTTTTGTTGTTGTTCTTTTATTTTTCTTTTATTTTTTTAAAATCAATCTTTATTGTTCATATTATTACAAAGGTTCCTCATTTCTTCCCCCCTCTACCAGGTTCCCACTCCCCCTCCCCCCTCCCCATCCCCCATTGTCCTCATCTATAGGTGCACAGTAAGTTCGCATTTCTGCAATACTTTTGCCATGCTGGATGCTTTGGAAATGTTGCACGTGGCAGTTTCAATGAATTGCATGTTTAATGGCAATTTCAAAGAGGAATGAGCAGTTCTCGTAGCGATGTCGCAGTTATTCCCGATGATTCAAGAGCTAAGGCTCTGTCATTTTGGGATCCAGTTGCTGCCAGAATCAATCTAATTAGGAACGTTTTACCAGTTCCTCCTGGTGCATCTAAGAAGAAGATTTCTCCAACCCCATTATTGACATTTTGCATTATTTGATTGTAAATGCCTTTTTGCTCAAGTGTTAGTTTAAAAATATTTGATTGCACATATGACAAAAGGTCACCCTTGTTGTAACTTTGTTCACTACGCAATTCTCCATCGAATGAAGCAGCAGCAGATGGAGTCGGTGATGGCATTCCCAATTGATTGAGAACTTTGTTCGCGATTTCTAAGCACAAATCTTCAATCATTATCAACATTGAAATGGTATCATAAAATTGGAAATTCGGAAATGGTAAATGGATCATAAATCGGAAACATTGAAATGGAATCTTAAAATATTTAGTATAGCCTGTGTTGCTTTTATGTCCAATTGATGGTGCTTTAAAAAAAAAAAAGCACGCATGTTTTTACCTTTCACAGGTGTGACATTTATACAATAGTAGGGATAAGGTATATAAAAATACTTGTGTATTCAAATGAAACTTTGTGGCAAAATTTCAAAGCAATCAGTGAAGAACTTTCAGAGATTTAAGATTTTGAACAAATGAACATTTACATTTTTATTAATATAGAAAATATACACACACATTTGAGGCCCAGTTCATAAATTTGTGCAGGGGAGGGGGGCGGCCAGCCTGGCCAGGGGAAGGAGACATGGGTGGTTGGCTGACCTGCCTGCTGGTTGAACTCCTGGTTGAGGGGACAATTTGCTTATTAGCCTTTTATTATATAGGATTATTATATATGATATACACTGAGTGGCCAGATTATTATGCGTTCAGCGATTAAAAAAATCTGGTCACTCAGTGTATTTCTCCTCTACCAGCCATGCCGAAAGCCTGCCCAGGAATCAATTTTCTCCCTCTGACCCTCACCCTCAGTTGTGCTTAGTTGACTCCCAAAAGGCTATGTGTTAACTGCTTTTTCGGCAGGGAAAGTGAAAGGGAAACAAAATAAAATGAGACATAATAACCTCAGGAAAATGGTCACATGATTTCAGTGGAACCACTGGGTACACAGTGGGGAAGAGCTGGAAGCAAACTCCCAAGTGTATTTCTGGGTCAGACCAGCCAGAGCAGCAGGAGAGCGGCTGGTTCTTCCTGGAGGTGAGAGCAGGGTGAGGGGCAGGAGCACCGGGAAGGAGAGCTGCTTCTCCAAGAGGTGGGAGTCCACCAGGGAGGGGGCTGTGATCCGGAACAGGGCGGCAGCCTTAGTCTCAGAGAACGGGGTCCTCAGGCAAGCGAGGCCCAGGTACAGCAGGGAAATGATTTGCATGCAGGACTCAGCTCTTCCTTCTAGAAGGGGCGACTGAGGACAAAGGGTGAGGGCCTGGACTTGGAAGGTGTGCCTTCGGATGTGTGGAGGGAGTTGGGCAGGGAGTGTGAATGGTTCAAGGACCCCAGCTGTCCCTCTCTGTCCCCAGGGGGCCACCCCTCACCCCACTGTCACCTGTCCCATGACCACCCACCTCAGGTCCTCCCCAGGTTTGTCCCATGGCAGGATCTTAGCCATGGGTCCTGCTGGGAGCGGTGAGCTGGGTGGAGGGGTGTCAGGAATTCTGAGCAGCCAAATGCAATACCTGGTGGACAGGGCAGCTGGTGAGCATCCCCATATGACCCAGGGAGCAGAGGACAGGGGCCCAGGGACCCAGGAGCCAAGCCTGAGTTTTCAAGGTCTGGGGGTACAGCCAGAGGGTGCTGAAGGGGATGGGCAGGAGGTGGGGCAGAGCCTGGGCCGGTGGCCACAGGAGCTCCCTCAGAAAACACTTTCCCAAGGTGGGTAAGGAGACGGTGTGAGGAAGGCTCACCTGTCTGAATTCCAGTAACGGACTCAGAGACAGAAGTCTGGTGAAAATGGGACTTTTAAAACTTTCTGGTGAGCGGGTGTCTGCTGGTGCAGCCCCTGAATTAGCTGGCACAGGCAGTGTTTATCCCATTGTGTGAAATCCCTCCTCAGGTCTTTGCTGAGTACATGGAGTTTGCATTCTATCCCATAGGTTCCCAGGTCTTATGGTCTCCTAGTGGGTCTGTTTGTTTTTTTCCATTGGCTGAGGCCTTTTGTAGTTGTCTCCATCTCCCTTTGTCTAGCGAATCTTCCTGGACAATGTGCTGCAAGCCAGGAGCACAGCTCTCATATCCTCTCCCCACCTCCCCTCCCACATCCTGCTTGCTCTGGGGAAATTCAGTAACTGACTGGCCATATGCTGTTTCCTCCTATGAAGATGAATCTTAGAGCATGTCTCCCACAACAGGAAGCCCCAGCCAATTGCGGAGCCCAGAGGCAAAAGGGGGGAGTGGGAGGTGAGCTTCCCCCCAGGCCTGCAGAGGAGACTCCTGAGCCCAAGGCAAAGCCAGGCCCTGGGCCTCCACAGACAGAGCCCTGTCCCTCCACGCCCAGAGAGTGGGCCCGCTCCAGGGCAATTAACCCTCAGCTCTCCTGTTGTCCAGGTGACCCCTGTAGGCAGGTCCCTGTGAGGTTGGGACCTGGCTTCTGCCTTGCAGGAGCAGAGCCCAGAGGCCCTGGGGGAATTGGAGTGTGTGGGAAGGTGACTTGTGGTGTTCTCCCCACAGGGGTGAGCTCTGCTTCCTTGAGAAGATGGCGGAAAAAGCATTCTTAATTTGGTGAGATTCAGCCAGACCTGGCCATGCCCAGCGACCAGTTAATGGGCCAAACACAGGACTCTGGTCATTTCCCCATGGACAGGGTGCACCCAGGACAACTAAGGGCCTATAAGGGGGCCCAGGGCTTCCCCCCTGGGCTAAGACCCCAGGGCACATGGGGTGTGGGGGGGCATCTCAAGCTACAGGCCAGGAGTTCTCAGGTGATGGGGCCAAAATAGAATATTGGGGACCAACTGAAATTGTAAGAACTATTAACCATGTTCTGATAACCATGATTGTTTAGTTCTGATGAAAGAAGGCACATGGCTGGGAGCTCACCTGGAAATGCAGCCCATCCTCCCCACCAGGGAGCTGCCTATTGTCATGGGAAGATTAACAACCTGGTGGTGGAAACCAGAGCCTGAGCCCTTCCCATTTGCCCAGGCCTTTGAGGGCCCCCAGCCTGTGCATAACGCAGGCCTTGGCAAATCTCCAGCCTGTGTTACCTGAAAACTGCTCACTTGGCATTCCCTTGCCTACTTCCCCATGTAATATTTGTCCTTTTACCCAATATAAGCAGCTGGTTTAGCAGGTATTTGTGGATGACCTGCTGCTCACTGACACTGCCAGCAGTATTGGAATTAATGCTCACAGTGATTCCATCCTGTCTCTGCTTCATTGGCTCAAGGAGTGACAGCAGCAGGGATCCACTGATTGTCAGGTTACACAGGGACCCCTCAGCCTCCATCCCCTGCTGGGGTGTCAGAAAGGCCACCTCCTCCAGAGCCTGAAGGACCCTCTGCAGTGAGCCCAGCTCACCCTGTGAGCAATTCCATTGGCCACTTGCTTTCTCCCTCCAGCCCAGGGGTTGGAGAGTGCCATCCCCATGACCTATGAGGTGGCAGGGCCCAGAGGGCCAAGGGCCATCCTGAGGCCACCAGTTGCTCACTACAGAGGGGGGAGCAGAGCCAGCATCTCCCTCAGCTCAGTGGATGGGGCCATTCTTCCCTCTGGTTCCACCCATCCTGTCATCTGGGACCCTGAGCCCACAGTCCCCTCACTGTCTCTATCCTGTGAGGTGAGCCTGGGCTCACAGGTCACCCTTCCCCTTTCTTCCTCCATATAGGGTGGGGGAGCTATGAAATGTCTGATAGGGGCAACAGGGACCTGTGCGCTTGTGCTATCCGTGGGCTTGGTGGCAGTAGCAGTCACAGGAGTTGGCGTCTACTGCTGGAGTAAGGTCAGAGCAAGCTTGGTCTGGGGCTGGCTGGGACTGGGGATGGGACTGCATATGTGTAAGAGGGAAAGTTGGGGATGGTTTGAAGGAGGCACAGTTCAGATCTGAGAAGGTAGTGGGGCCCTGCATTGGCCTGGATGTCTGGCTGCCCCTCACACTGACTGTCCATACCCTCCTCCCATTGTCAGCTCCGGGCCCTGTCTGACATGCCTGCCTTCTTTTGCAGGCCCAAGAAAACAAGAAACAGAAAATGTATTGACAGGAATCCTTTCCAATCCCCTGGCCAGAAGAAGAAGGCTCCACCTTCCTAGGGGATGTGTGAAGCAACATGCTATACACAGTTTATATTTTCATTATGAACAAATTCAACCTTTGAGCAAAATAAAAATTAAGTGCTTACTGTGTGCCTGACTCTTCCATTACCAGACTCTTTATTCCAGGATTCCTTTGAGACCCATACCCCATCAGCCCCCACCTGGCCCTTCCCCAGGCTGCCTGACCTGATTCATCTTTCAGACCCAGGGCCACTGGTTCTTCTGGGGCCTCCTCAGGGCCCGGAAAGGAAAAGCCAATTCTGTTTCTCCTCCACAGCACTCACAGCCACATCCCAGCTGTGTGCCATTTCCCCCACCAACCTGTTTCCAGTTCTCTGGGACACCGACTTTGTTTCCTCTGATTTAACTCAATTCTGACACCAACAGGAGCTATTGAAGACCCCACAAGTGAGGGGTTCAGTCCCACCAATCTGCCCCAACTTCAAAAGCCAGTCCCAGATAATGGGTGCCAGGTTACCCACAAATTTCTTTCCAGGGATTCCCGCATCTTCTCCTTGGGTTCAATAATTTCCTAGAAGGGCTCACAGAACACGGGTAAATGGTTCACTTATTAGATCATTAGTTTTGTGTGTGTGTGTGTGTGTGTTTAAAATATATTTCATTGATTTTTTTCCAGAGAGGAAGGGAGAGGGATAGAGAGCTAGAAACATCAATGAGAGAGAAACATGGACCCGCTGCCTCCTGCACACCCCCTACTGGGGATGTACCTGCAACCAAGGTACATGCCCTTGACCGAAATCAAACCTGGACCTTTCAGTCCTCAGACCGACGCTCTATCCACTGAGCCAAACCGGTTTAGGCTAGATCATTCGTTTGTTATAAAGGATGACACAGGCCCTGGTTGGGTGGCTCAGTTGGTTGGAGTGTCACCCCTTGCATCAAAAGGCTGAGGCCTTAATAAAGTCAGGGCACATCCCTCGGTGGTGAGTTCCATCCCTGGTTGGGGTGCATTCGGAAAGAGCAGCTGGAGACTGAAAACCAGGTGACACAGGCTTTATTAGAGGAGAAACCTGCCGGGCTGTCTCGCAAGGGGAGAGGAGCAACTGTGCAGAGGTGAGCACTCCTTTTGAGGGGAGGAAGGGGAAGGGATGGGGTTATGGGTACTCAGCGGGCTCTGACTGGTGGCTTAGTGTATGGTCCATGTAAGGCACAGAGTTAGGCACTCAGGTACTCATAGTCGGGGAGTGGGTTTTTGAGGTTCACTAGCGGGCTACATAAAGCACCAGAGTGGTAGTGGGAGCACGGCCAATATGGACAGTAAAACTCCCCTATGTTGTCACGGTCCCCTTTCTGGTGGTATTTCATGCATAGATATTTGTGGTTGGTGGCATAGCTCCGATGCCACCCACTGCAGCTAGACCACCCCGGGGCCATGGCCGCACAGGCATCAAAACAGAGAGTGACCCTGGAGGGTTTGCCATCCCTGAGAGGAGAATTGATGACTATCTCATCATCCCAGGCCCGTTTTACCTGAAAAGACCAGAAACCTACCTTGGTGTATTCATTGTTAGTTACTTGTAGGAGGACTATAGTGAGGAGACAAGACATATAAAAAGGAATTTGAAAACCCGAGCTTCTTCTGGAGTAGAGAATTGGAGGGTCCCTTGCCAGGTAAGATCCACTCGCCATGAAGGTAAGTCTTCCAGGGAAGCAGATCTCGGTCTCCACCAGGACCAGTCTTCCAGGACACACTGTGAATTCGGCTGCTGAGGTCACGGGGGCGGAGATTCACAGGAGAGCGGGCTTTGTTGGTAGGGGGCTGGATGAGGGTCGCAGCAGCATGACTTCCCCAAGAGACTGGTTGGTGAAGCCTCCAGAGCGATCCTGTTGAGTGACTTGGGAGGTAAAAGCTGGTCCTGAGGCTGCCACAGCGTCACCTGTCTGGTTTTGCTGCTTTTCTGGGCCTGGAGCTGAAAGACAACAGAGGCTAAGATGTTATTTTTTAAGAGGGGAAAGAGTAGGGGTTTCAGTTGCCTCACTAGTGATATGAAAGGAGAGAATAGATTACCCGGGGGGTGAGGTTCTTGTTTTCCCAGTTTTGCCCCTTGCTGGGCATCCACGTGTTTCTTGCAGATCCTGAGACAGGATTGCAAAATAGGTGGAGCAGTGGTTAAGCTCCCTGTGGCTCATAACCCTGCTGTGATGCTGAGGGTTAGGAGAAGAGGGGTGACCGGACTCCTCTTTTGTGTCAGATACGGTGGGTCACGGGGACAGGTAAAGACTGATTATTGGGGGCTACATCTACATTGGGTGAGAGATGTGCGTACAGGTCCCTGTCCAGCTCATGGGGAGACAGATGTGTTTTCCCCACAGAGGAAGAAAAATCCCTGATCACGGAGACAAGCTGATAGGTGTAAGGAGAAGAGGTGGACTAAAGGGCATGAAGTACCTTTTCTAGTTCCACACTCCAAGCCGAGAGGGTAGTCGCCATGGCGCTACCAATAAGGGGTGGCAGATGGGTGGTTGAGATTTTGCTGCAGTGAAAGTGGGAAGGAATGTTAGAATGGGCTGTTATCCAAGGGAAAAGAAAAAGGGAGGAAAGGAGCAGTGGAAGCCAGGGACCTGGATGGTTGGATAAGAAGTAAGACAGGCCGAAACGGGTTTAGCTCAATGGATAGAGCGTTGGCCTGCAGACTGAAAGGTCCCTTGTTCGATTCCAGTCAAGGGCATGTACCTTGGTTGCAGGCACATCCCCAGTAGGGAGTGTGCAAGAGGCTGCTGATCGATGATTCTCGCTCATCGATGTTTCTAACTCTCTATCTCTCTCTCTTTCTCTCTGTGAAAAATCAATAAAATAATTAAAAAAAAAAAAAAAAAAAGACAGACTGGCTGTGCTACCACTCGTTGGCTTACCTTCTTATTTTTACTGAACCTTAATCCTTGCTGATTTTACTTTTAAAATTTAACACATCTTATTTTCAAAAAAATATACATTCAACAAAGTACAAGAGACCTTCTGTCAGGCAAATTAAAACGTGTCTAGCAATCAATGTTTCAGTATTCTATGCTATTTAAAAATATTTAGATGTTTATCTTTTAACCCAGCAATGCTCTCCGACTGATCTCCGACTTATCTTTCACATATGGGAATCAACCAATCGATGTAGATGACTCTCACATTGATGTTTCTCTCTCTTTCTCTTCCTCTCTCTCTCTCTCTCTCAAATCAATAAAAACATATCCTTGGGTGAGGATTTTTTTAAAAACATAATAGTGCCAAAATCAGTTTGACTCAGTGGATAGAGCGTAGGCCTGCAGACTGAAAGGTCCCGGGTTCAATTCCGGTCAAGGGCATGTACCTTGGTTGTGGGCACATCCCCATTAGGTGTGTGCAAGAGGCAGCTGATGGATGTTTCTCTCTCATCGATGTTTCTAGCTTTCTATCCCTCTCTCTTCCTCTCTGTAAATACTCAATTACATATATATATATATATATATATATATATATATATATATATATATATATTTTTTTTTTAATGTAATAGTGAAAGAGATATACAGGACAAGTTATGGGGGGAGGGACATGAGCTTCCATGCTCTCCCAGAACCTCCACATGTTCACCAATCTGGATGCTCTCCAGATCCTCTAGCTCAAGGATTTTAATAGCAGCTTCAACCCATAGTTACCATCAACCCCGAAGGATGGAGTTGAAATTTCCAAGTTCTCTCTCTCTCTCTCTCTCTCTCTCTCTCTCTCTATCTATCTATATATATCTATATATATATATATATATATATTTTAGGTCTAGTAATAATTAATGTCGTTTTCTAATACCTTTTTTTAAATCGAATTTATTTAAACAATACAACAAAATTTAATCAACAATATAGTTGCCGTTGTTTTCTACTACTTGTGCCCAACGCTCAGGAAGCATTTTAATCCCTCTGTTGTAAAATTCTTGTGATTTTGATGCAAAAAATTCGGTCAATGCATTTTTGAGGCATTCTTCATTATTAAATTTTTTTCCAAGAAGAAAGTTTTGCAAAGAACGAAACAAATGGTAATCAGAAGGGGCAATATCAGGAGAATATGCAGGTTGAGGGAGAACTTCCCATTCCAACTGGCGCAGTTTGTCAGCAGTGATTCTTGCAGTATGCGGTCGTGCGTTATCGTGGTGAAGAATTACGCCCTTCCGATTAATCAGCGCGGGTTCTTTTTCTCTTAAAGCTTGGGCTAACCTTTCCAATTGGGCACTATACACTGCACTTGTAATGGTTTGGTTAGATGGTAAAAGTTCATAATGAAGAATTCCTTTAAAATTCCACCAAACACACAACATCACTTTTTTCGCATGCAAGTCAGGTTTTGGCATGGGCTGCGGAGCCTCATTTTTGTCCAACCATTGAGGCCGCCTTTTCAAATTAACATACAGCACCCATTTTTCATCTCTGGTAACAATTTGCTCTAAAAACGGCAAATGGTTTTGACGAGAGAGGAGCGAACTGCAAATTGTGACTCTTTGATTACAGTTGTTGTCGGTCAACTCATGAGGAACTCATTTTCCAAACTTTTGGACTTTGCCAAGTGCACGCAATTGATTGGAAATTGTTTTTGTGAACAATTTAAAGTTGTTGCAAGCTCTTGTTGGGTAATTTGAGGATTTTGCACCAAAAGAGCTTGAAGAGCTTCTTGATCAAAATTGGACACACGGCCTCGACCACTCTTGTCATCTAACGAAAAATTTCCCTCGCGAAATTTCTCAAACCAACGCTGGCATTTTCTGGCGCTAACTGCATCTTGACCAAGAACACTACAGATGTTTTTTGCAGCCTCACTTGCTTTTCTTCCTAATTGGAACTCGTAAAGCATGCAGTGCCGAATATGCTCTTCATCCGCCATCTTCTTAGCCCTAGTTTTGCAACAAAAACCAAACCAAACACAAACTTTTTCAAGCAAAACTTGTTAATTGCACTTCACACGTTCTGTAGATACCACGTGTTTGAAGGTTATGTCAATACAAGTCAATGCCAAGCAAGATTTTAAACGAATGTTTAAAAACATTAATTATTACTAGACCCGATATATATATGATATATGATATATTTTATTTAATACATTTT